ATGTGAGCTTAAGATATAACCAACCACTACAAGAATAATTTGCAACATTATGTTTCACCATAACTAGAAAATTTCTTTAACTTTGTGTTTGTCTGTATATTTTTAGGTATATCAAAATCTTATTATTAATTAATTAAAGCTGTCCATACTTGACTCAAGTAAACCAAGTTAAAGCAGGTTTGTAATTTTTTTCCTTCACTGATACACAAATAATTTGGTCAAGTTTCTCTTTTGAAACAAAGTTTATGTCTGTTGATCATATGAATTGATCTACTCATAACATCAACATCTCAAATTTTATCAAAAAGTGATACAGTGTAAATAAAGTTATTTATTTAAACTATCAACACTTCATTTTGATATTCACAATGACCAAACATAACAAAAACTTACAAAAGCACTGAATAAATAGACACGTAAAACTCGTTAAATAATGCTTTTTAATCAGAGAGAGGTTTTGTGGATATTATAGTAATTTAATAGTTGAATTCATCAGTCAATTGAACCTAAACCACCATGAAAAACGTGGAAGCACAGGAAGGCCGTTTTGTCTTTATATGAAATTCCTCAGCAACGTCCATGACCCCGTCTCGTGGGATTCGAGTCCAGGACCTATCAGTCTCCTGACATAAAATTGAGACACATTTATAGTCAGCGGTGAAAAATGGATGATAACATTTTACGTGTATAAATTATATCATACTATTTTTAACTCTTACAACTGGGGTTGACCAACAAGAGTATGACAAGTGAGATAGCTCAGATTTAATCTAGGTTTTTTTACTGTTAATCAGCTACATGAATTGAGACTAATAGTTCTTAGTGGTTAGAATAAAAAATAACCGAAAAACTGTCTGGATCTAGTCGTAGGGCAGTTCTGGTCTTTGTGAATTAATCAGGATCATCATTAGATACTGATGAGATTGAGTCCGACAGGTCTCTCTAATTTAAACACATACATCTGCGTTTAGAAGAGGCTATGTAATCAGGAATAGAGTTCGGTTCTATTAATCTGATCAAGAATAAGTTGCTTTGCTTCTGACTAGACAATTCAATATTAAGTAGAGATATATTCACCGTTAAATGTTACGTAACTTTTGGTAATTCTTTGAAACTTGATAATCTTTTACAAGCAATATTCGAAGCTTAGGGAATACACCGAAACGGTGGTGTTTTGTGAATTTACACATTCTGATCATTATCATAGATAGATCCAATCCACTATCGCTTTGGAGTCAAGCGGTAAGTACAGTGATAAATGATAATAGATATTTTCTTCATGTCTGTCACAAAACGTTTTCCTGAATGAATATGAGGTTTGAAATAAAATTGTTGCCTAAGATTCGCTTAAGATTTAGTACTATCGATTAAAATTTGCAAAATGCATTTCTCTGCCTTAATCTATCGTATTGTTTGGTTTGATATTTTCTAATGTAGAAGAGGTTTACCCAATCACATCTGCCTTATCTACCGATTGTTGCTGTGGATGATTTCTTGTTATTAATTGCTTCTGATCAAAACTGATAGCAATTGAATACTTAATAAGTTACAATTTCTTTTACTTTTTACTAACCAATTCATGTTAGTTAACTTAGAATATCAAACGAACTAATAACTAATTATGATGTCTTCCTCAATACATCTAACCAATTTTAAAAATAAAAGCCTTTTAGGATCATTATAACACAACAGAAGACGCTATATGTATATATCCATCTCACTCAGTTTCTTTTTTAATTAATTCCTAAAAATAAACCGTAAATTACGAGTCAGTAAGCCTTTGTTTGTTTGTATAGCATTAAAAAAATGCTTCAATAAATTTATTTCAGCTATGTTTAACATAAATCATCTATACTTATCCATGCGTGATTTCTTTGTATAGATGATTATTTAGAGTAATACAACAATTCACTTGTAAAGAGAAATAAAACTTCTTTTCTTTTTGTTTTTCAAACGATACATCACAATCATAAAGATAATAATAAAAACAAACATACAGTAAGAAAAGTATCCAAGGGGATTACATAACGAGGGAGAAAATAAATAAATAAACAAAACTCTGATAAGAAGAATAAGATAAACAATATTGAAAACAATAAAGAAAGTAATAATAATTCTTTGACAAGATATAGAACAAAAATGATTTAATTAATTATATTACCGTGTATATATTTAGTTTATAAGAAAATAAATCAATGATTATGATTATTGAGTCCAAATTATTAATCTCTAATTGTTTTCATTAAAAGACAAGGAAAGTTTTTTTATCATTACTTAGAAGATAATAACAAATGGAATAATGTGAAATATATTACATATATATATTGTATCTATTCTGTAAAAGATTTATGCGAAAATTGATATTTGGATGGTATGATAAATTTGGATTGAATGTCTATTATAAAATAGGTATAATGATTTTAATATGGATTAAGATTATACTGACTTACTTATGCCTGTTACTCCCAGTGAAGCATAGGCCACCGACCAGCATTCTCCAACCCACTCTGTCCTCCGCCTTCTTTTCTAGTTCCATCCAATTCTTGTTCATTTTTCTAATGGCTATCTCCATTTCCCGGCATAATGTGTTCTTTGGTCTTCGTCGTTCCCTTTGGCCTTGAGGATTCCATGTGAGGGCTCGTCTTGTGACGCACTTGGGTGCTTTCCTTAATGTGTGTCCTATCCACTTCCAGCGCTTCTTCCTGATTTCTTCCTCCACTGGGATCTGGTTTGTTCTCTCCCACAGTACGTTGTTGGTAATAGTGTCCGGCCAACGGATCTGAAGTATTTTGCGTAGACAACTGTTAATAAACATCTGTATCTTCTGGATGATGGCTTTCGTAGTTCTCCAGGTTTCTGCCCCATACAGTAGAACTGTCTTGACATTTGTATTGAAAATCCTGACCTTTTTGTTGGTTGACAGTTGTTTTGAGTTCCAGATGTTCCTCAGTTGTAAATATGCTGCTCTTGCTTTTCCGATCCATGCCTTCACATCCGCATCAGAACTCTGCCTGGAGTCCCTCCAGGGGCTACCGCCGGTCCTAAGCCCGGATAAGGAAGTAGGGTTGGGCATGGGGTTAGCGACCCCAACCCGTAGAAAACTAACTCGCTAAAAAAAAGCTAACCAGAAAAAAATTATTCAATTAAGATTATTGTATACATTTATTATGTGTTTATACAATAACAAATCAAGATTCATTCATTAATGAACCTATAAATATATATTTATGAATTTTTCAATATCATAACTTGTTGTTTGTTAATAGTATTTTAATCGCTTTTACAGGCAAACAGAACTAAAGAATGTTAAACAAGATATAGATTAGCAATGAAAGGTCAAATTAAATATTAGATTTAAAAGGTTATTACAGAAATAGGCTTTGAAATCAGTTATTTATGTCTTACTTTTAGTTATGATTGAGATTTTTTTAGGATATGTCTTAAAGAACTAAAGAATTTCCATATTTCGATTGTGCACCGTCTATTGAACACGAGGAACAAACTAAATAAAATAAGCACATTCTAAATAGTTTTTAAATAATAGGCTCGTTAAAGTTATTACCATTATATAGCTAAAATTTGACTTTGGTATCCAAGAACAGTCCGTGCTAATCTTTTGACTACTTCGGTAACAGGAATGAAGCATGATTTATTTGCAGTTTTGTTATTTTCAAATTAATTGCGATTACAGTTCAGAGAGTACAATTTTATTTATTTATCGCTTATCTCTATATATCCCTAATAAATCCTAGCCATATTACGTAATCTTTTGTTAAAAATCTTAATTTCACTCTCATAATAGTTTTGTCTTTCAAACAATTTCTGTTCTTTGATAAATCGTTTATTCTTTCATTGGAAATGATCTCGATAATTTCAAATAATTGAAAACAATGAAACAATAGTACAGTCAGTTTATCGCATCATGCAAATATTACTGAAAAAGGATATGTCCATAAACTTGTAATATATCTGCTACTCATTATTCAGTATATATGAATCATCTAATACATTTCAGTTCATTTAATGATAGAATCCTGAATTAAGGAGGATAGTTTTCAATGAGAATCACATTTCAGACATTAATCTTCACTTTACTTGTGTTTTTTTTCATCTGACAAGTTGTGATGCTCTACAATAGCGTATTCACTAAAGACGTGTAAATTGTTTAAGATTATTGGAATAAAGTCTACATGGAAAATTTTACCGCAGTATGTAACGTGGACACACTAAATTGTCAGGTTAAGCGTTCGAGCCCAAGACCTATGAGTCTTTGGTTCGAATTCTGCGGAACGGCATCGCGGATTCACATTTCTGAAGAGTCTCATACTTAGAAGAAACGGTTGTCAAGTACTTCCAAGTTTTCCATGGTGTTCTAGCTCCAAATGACTCATGAATTCAACTATTAGATTAGAAGAGTGTTTGAAAATGCCAGACATCGCGATTTCATTAAACTTTGAAAAGTATTGTTTTGATAATACGTATTATTTTTGTTGTTTTGTTCGAGTTACGTTTAATTAAATTTCTATAAAACTTTAGTGATTGTATGAATGAATGGTAGATAGACGATATTTTATTTTGAATACCTAAACTAATTTTCTACTAAATAAAATAGATCATTGATTCGTGTGTTAGATTTTTACAGATAGGATATTTAGGTTTCAGATACAACTTACGTGGGGAAGTTTTCAATATACCATGAGTCAATTGAAGCTAAACCACCAGGAAAAATGTGGAATCACTGAACGGCCGTTTCGTCCATAGTGGGACTCCTCAGCAGTATGCTTCCATGATCCCGCCCAGCGTGATTCGAACTCAGGACCTATCGGTCTTCCACGAAACGGCCGTGCTTCCAGGTTTTCTATAGTGGTTTAGCCTCAATTGAATCATAATCACAACTATTATATTACTTTAGTATCCACAAGACCTCACATCTGATATCAATTTTCACTAAATTTCCTAACAAACTATCAAATAAACTGACAGTTGAGCACAATATCTTGAAAATGTATAGTAGATTGATTTATTTTTTCTCAATTTCAGTTAAACTAACACCTGTAAAGAAGAAACAGATCTTTCGACAATTTAAGCTGAACACTATCAATTATGTAAAATACGGATCCCATTTATAATAATGTAGTTACAAAACAATGTAGTTTGTATTCATCCAACAAAATGCTTTCATATAACAGATATACATATATATATATACAAAATTCTATATGTACAAAATCGTAATTTCATAGAACAAATAAACAATTCACAGAAATATCATGTTAATCAAAGAAATATTCACTTCAGGATAAGAATTTTTAAATATATTATCACATAATTTGATCCTATATGTATAATTGAATTGAGCCAAAAACAATACAGTTCATTGAGTCACTTAAACACAAAACTTATCATATCAGACAATATTAAAATTAAACAAATGAAGATGTTATTTGAGGTAAATTATTTGAGTTTCCATTATTATTACTAGTCATTTGATTAGGATCAATAATTAGTTGAGAATCATCACCTTTTAGTTGATTATAATGATCACTATTGATATTATTTTTATGTGATTCATATTTTTTCGTGGAAAATAATTTAAATTTCGGTTTATGAATTGTGGAAAAATTATCTTTGTTACTGTGACAATCATTGCTGTTGTTATTGTTGTTGTTGTTGTTGGTGGTGGTGGTGTTCGTGTTTGTAGTCGTTGAAGATGACAATACTGATGTTTCACTGACTGGAAGTAATTGATTTTGTTTAAAGCCATGTTTGTTATCGGTAGATATATCAGTTAATTTACCCTCAAAGCTAATTAATGTTGGTTTGTTATTCTGACATTTAGAATCGATAAACGTTGAAACGGAATCTGAAATATTTGCTTGAAATATTTTACCAATATTTCTAATATCATCATCTTCATCGAATGTATTTTTATTTATTACTTCAACTGGATGATTTGACAGAATACTATACTGCTTTTGTCGATTCAATGTTTTACATAACTCCAATTGGTTGAATAACATCGGTGATGCTTGATCTTCATATAATGAATCACATGGTTTAAGTAAATATGCATTTTTGAACAGTCTTTGATTATTATTAATCACTTGCTTGTTTAAATCATTCTGTAAAACTGATGGTGATAAACAAGAGTTTTGTAGAGAATTTATTTGATTAATTGATAATGGAGTGTAGTCGGAACTATCCATTGTGGAATGAGGAACTAGAAAGAAATAAAAGGATGATTAGTCACTCATTTAAACACTGTGCTGAGGAGATATATGAATTACTGATTAACTTGTGTAGTAGGACTTAGGACTAGTAATGTAGTCTAAATGATCTACATTTTTGAACAAATTAATTCGTTTTAATATATTTCAAAAAAAACAGATTAGTGTTGTTATGACGCATAAAATAAACAAAATAACCCTAGAAAAAATATTATTTGTGAGCTTTGTGCAAACATTTCATTTACGGGATTGTTTCTTATCTAAAACGTCCAGTTTTTTGCATATTTAAACAAATCTGCTTTAAAATTACAAGGTTTCTGTGAAGTACAAACTAGAAGTTCTAATGACTTTTAATAAAGTAAATTCGGTCAATAAGCCTATTTTTATATCCGTTCCTTCAGCAATCAAATCAATTGATTATCACGTAAACACTTAGCTTAGACTTTGAAAATTGTTGTGGATGCGGAGGAATAGACCAATAATTATCATGTTAAGTCCAATGGTGTCCTTGGACTTTAAATGGACATTTCCTTTTGGTCGATATCTGTTCACTTGTCGAATATTGTACAAAATGTTGTTTTCTATTTTATGGTACGATGTGGTATGCTTGACTGGTATATAAACAAAATATGTTTAAAATATAGTGATTCATATCTCCGAGGCTGTGGCTTGTGTTCTGGACTCAACTGACTGGGCTAGACAGGGAAGCGAGCCCAGTCGAGACTCTAGGCCGTCGTCCGTGTTTACGTGTCACTGTAGTCGATCGATAAGTACGCAGCTCTCTAATTTTCCAGTCAAGGACACAACAATTAGCACAGGGTAAAAATCGACAGCAACCTCAAGCCATAACAAAACTGAAACCATATATATATATATATATATATATATATATATATATATATATATATACTAGTTACTGAATAATTATCCAAAGAGAATACATGTAATAATAGTCTATAAATGATTCCTAGCAGTTACCATTGATTTTTTTCGTCGTTTGGACATAATAATAACATAGTTTTAAAAGTTATCTCTAAGCGATTAAGGGCTTAATTGGCCTGTTGTTGTAAGGAGATATTTTAAATGATCAGTCACAGACTAGTAGTCACTGCTGTAATATCTCCTTCGCTCTTAGTAGTATCATGATCTGATATGAACGTTAGCTTAAAGAAATCAACACTGTATATGTTTTCCTTAATTGTGTAAACAAAGAATGAAAAATCAAGTAGTTTCAAGTGTATTATATTATTACATTCACTTTTTCATTAAGATTTACATATTTTCCACTCCTCTTAACACTTTCCTATAGTTCTTTTTCTTTGTAATAGTTATAAGTAGTCGTTAACTAAAATAAACACCGACTAAATGTTGCTAGCAACTATGAAAACTAGTCAAGATAGTGTATTTCTAACCATCAAGCTGATTTACACTAACCAATTAAAATGTCTTCATCTATTCATTTTGCAAGTTTTATAAAGTTGAAATTATTAACACCATCATGCATTAGAATCAGTTCAGTCGAACTTACTAGACATGATTGTATTTGTATGAGGATCATTAGAAGGTACAACATTGATGTGATCATAAGCTCGTACAATGTATGTTGGTGATAAACTTCTACAGTTAATTGTATTAATTCCAAAATCAGAAAATATTTTATTTTGAGAACCAGTAATGATTTGTGACTCATCATTTTTTGAACGACTTGATAATGTACTGTCTAAACGTATATCACCATTGTTATTCTGAAATAAATCATAGATCTAAATGATACTATTTACAGATTAATAAAACATACAAGAATTACATAATGACAGTCTTATCTATATTTGGGAAGCTTAAATAATTTTACAGACTGAGTTACTGGAACATTATTTCGTATTATAATTAAAATCAAATGCCAATATACTGGAATTTATTATAAAATTTGAATCAACAACCTTACCAGTGAATAAACCCACAAAAGCAGGTCTCGCTATAAACACGTTATTCATTGATTAATTAGTCAGATCTCATCAGCCTACATTATCAATTACAAAGAATTCTTGATATTTCAGGATGACCACTTCAATTTTGTCGGAATATCTATTTCGTTCGATCAGTTAAGAATGCGAAATAAAAATTTTCGAGTAACTCATCAAGTAAACGATACAAGACTATAGAACTATTGTTTAATCGTATTGCTTATGAAGATTAGATCAGTCTTTATGCTACTGGGTCATAAATCTCTAATCTAAATGTGTTGTGCTAGTTGTAAGCACTGAAACATCTACTCTTCATTCTTTATGATGTATTTGTTGAGGTGTTTTAGTGATCTTCAGATTTAATTTGTTTCTCAGCTTTCAAATAGTAACAAAAACTACTTTACAGTTGATCCAATGCTTCACAAAACATACAATTAGGATTAATATTTACAGATATTACATTTCCTTTCTTTATTTAAGTAATATTTAGGCTATAATAATGTGTGGATATACTTACACCAATATTTATAGTGAGTGAATTGACTTACTTTTTTACAGCTGATTAAGCTATCAGTATGAATCTCGCTCTTACCTATACTATCTAAAAATCAAGATAAAAAGTAAAAGCAAAATTAATAAGCAGAAAAGCGAAGAAACTCTAAACACTTGAATCGTTTATTTGCTCCACTCATTTTATTTATTACCACTGACCTTAATTCTTTCTAAATTTTTGCCTTATTTTGCTTACTGAACAAATCACTTTAATACCACTTCATCATTCCTGATTTGTCGAACAATTGGTTGAATATCGCAAATCCAAGGAGATTAGCTTTATAGTAGTTAATTATGACAACATTTTGACAACTATAGATATAAACTATTTTCAATAACTAGATAATCTGCACTTATTTTAAGTAGTTATTACAACAAGTAATTATTTAACAATGATATCCCATATTCCTTTTCCATAATTAACAATGTACTTATCTTTACTAAACTCCTGGAATGAAACACGAAGATTATTTCATGTGCTCAAACCAGAACATTTTCAGTTGATGCAAATAAGATCAGCGGTTGATAACTCTATGAACTCTTTGATCGAGCACATGAAAAGTTTACTTATTTATTTATAAGTTAGTTGCTTTTCCTATCACTATGACAACGATTGAAATGTCACTATACGCTACTCCCGAATATCTATCGAATTCATCCATACTTGAAGTCCGAAATAATTTTAAGCTTGGAAATCCCAAAATTTACTAGTGTACTCACAGAAACCTTGTTTTTTGACTAGGTTCGTGCTTTGATAACGTAGAATCTTTTATAATAGCTGGGTCAATGATGATTTGTGATCGTTATTGTGTTAGACTAGGTAGGTGGTCATCTAAATTCAAAAAGTGTTTGTTCGAGTTAAAGTTGTGTAAAAGTGGATTTGTTACTTGAAGGAAGGCTCAGGCAGAAAAACTCTCACAATCCAAATATAAGCATTCAGGATTAAAAAAGGATTAGTAACAGCATACTACAGTGGTTATGTTGTGGTTTCTGGTAACAGCATCAGAATACAAGGAGTAAGGCAGTTCACTGTACTGAATACCACTGATGTTTTTTAGTACATATTTTACTAAGCAAGCTGATTGAAACTATAACTCTGGTCAAATGTATCAAATATTGAACCACTTATTTATCATATTAAATCATTTATTTCACAGACCCCATGAACGATCTTATACGATAAATAATTACCGGTTTTATAAAATGAGAAAGGAAAGTATACATGGATTATTAAGTGCTGTTATAAAAGCCTAACATGAATTGATTTCAAGTAGTAAAAACTTGAGCTTTCATCCTGTTATATTTGTTCTTCTTTAGAAGTTTAGTATCTGTCTATAACTGCTTTTATATAGTATTTCAAATTGTACCTTTATTAGGTAATCACATTTTCATATATCTTTTCCAAACGACAAGAACCAGAATAATCTACTTAAATTTATCAAAGTATTTAGTATACTCATTAAAGAAGTTGCTTCGAAGTACGTGAAGCAATTGACGACCTCATATACGAATTTTATCAGTTCTAATGTAAATTAGTTGAATAAAGGCATTTAATTTAGTTATTGAGTCCTAATCGTTGCTAAGGTAGACGAATAATCTCCGTTATTCTAGTGATGATTTGACTGGTTATATAATCGGCCACGGATCTAGGTCACATTTTTCTTTATATCGAAATAACTTACCTTATAATTAATGCATTTGAACATTTTACTTCATGAATTAGTATAGTGAAAATATTTTAAATAACCCAATAATAGGCTTACCATATTTCTCTTCACCTTTATTTGTCAAACTTGTTCTTCTTAGTTTCACATAAAAGCATCCAAAACTAATTATCACAAGTATTAAAGCCAAACAAACTGCTAAAGCCAACAAATACATAGCAGGTAATGTAAATGGTTTGGAGTTATTTAGTTCCGATCTTATGTATGATTGTGATGAAAGTTTACCTCCGCCACTTGAACCAAGTAATGCTTGGCGATTCATTTTGTACGCGTAATGCTTACTTTTGCTGGTTTCTTTATTTTGATGCACTGAAGCATATTCACTATTCCTGTTGGCATCGCTTTTTGCATTTACCATGTGAAAATAATCCTCAGAATATGTGTTATGTATTGTATCAATAGGATCGTAGTAGAATATTTGTAAACTTGTAACCGATTGTTCTGGAGTTGGTCCTTTATCTGAAACACGTATTAACAATCTATCCGGTCTACGATATCTTTTTGGAAAACTGTTGGGTGTAGGAGATATCATATCGGAATACGCTAATCTCTTAGACAAGAGAAGACGACCATCTGGCTGCAAAGTAAATGTTGGTATATCAGAAATATCTTCATCAGTTTTTCCACTTTTTAAGTTTTTAACATCATGTGATATGCCAAGTGCTCCTGAGTAAGCCATATTGAAAACTACAGTTCCATTGGGACCGTTGTCTGGGTCATAAGCTTCAAACTATAAAAACAGTTAAAACGATAGCATCAAACGCAGATCGATCAACAGTTTACATAAAAATCCATGTGACAAACAAAATCATTTTATTAGTAATTTAAACTATCTATTGAGTTTCATTTGAATGTAAGGAAAATGTGTCAATAAATTTGATATAATTTGAAGTAAATCCAAAGTTTCGCCTGGCAATCTAGTCCATGCTTTTTCAAGGAAAATATAATCAAACAACAAAATTATCGAATATAAATAAGTACTTGGTTCTCTGGTTTACTGTTTACTGAATAAGTCATCCAATCAACGTGAACACTGTTTTACAAATACGTTCCTTGTCTTTAATGTTTCACATTAAATCGGAGCCCAAATATTGTGAAACTATTCATTCAAATTTAGACGAAAGTACTTATTTACTTTTTGTATAGTTCCATCATTCTCAATTATTAATTGGTATTTTGTAGCAACATGAAATTTAATTACAAATTCACTTTGTAGTTTCCCAATGTAAATAACTAGTTTACATGAGTGACTAATTCCACTAACCTATCATTGAAGTACCGCAGAAATAAAGCAAATTACGTCCATCCATGTAAATACTTATGATTTTTACAACCAAATATCAGTTTAATCTTTTCAAAAAAATACTTTTTAAAGACAATTAAATACTAAACATAATGAATAATGAAACTGTACTAAATTTTTAATTATATAAGCCATCATGACATTTTCTATTTCTGTTTTTATCTTGATATGAATACTTCTATGTCTTTAAAGTAAACCGCCATCTAAAATATGCTAATCATTTAAACGGCATTGACTTTTGATGAAAATTATTTAACTAATCCATGAAAAAATGACTAACTAATAATAGACATTTTACTAAGACTTTTGCGGTGTAACTTTTTACCAAAATTGTATTCATTGCTGTATGTTTATAAATTAGTCATCAGATAGGTAATAATACCATTTAATTCAATGCCATGTACTTGACCACAATAAGTAATTCTCAGTTCAAAATATAAAATACTGAAATAAATTTCTATACTGATTACATGTTTATTATAAGTTTAAGCATTTAAAGGTTTTACGATGATCAAAAGATGGATCAATCTTTTATAACCTAGCTTAAAGTTTTCTTCTACAGAATAGTAAACATCTTTGATAAGGTATTAGACCGGATTTCAAATGTTTAAATTTTGACATAATAAGTTTTTTAAATGCCACAGAATAAACAAGAAAAAATGTATAACAACCACTCCTGTGTTTGTACAGTTCCTATGTATCTATCATCATGATAAGTTTTAAGCGATATGGAAAAGCCCCCGTACAGATAATGCGTTCAGTAGAACTTTCTAATTACTTAAAACACATGACAAATATATTCATGAACATGCATATCTACCTAGCTTAATCAAGAAGTATATTAACAATTACAAAGGTATGCAGTAAGATGCAAACAGAAAGAAGAATTCCTTCTTACATCTTCCCTTCAAAGAAGATGAAATTATCGGAATAAATACAGAATAATTACACCAATTAAGGTTGTTTAACTAGCAGCAAGGTCGACTATATTTGGTGGGACAAAGGGCTTTTTTAAACATGCAAAAAACAACAGGTCCTCTTCCCTCTGCACCTCCAGTTGAACCTACCAAATTACATATACGTGCCGAAGCACATACACTGGAAGAATAGAAAGAACAGTGCATATTTAGATTTCACAGCACGCCTCAAAGAATTTCAGACAAAGAATTACATCAACCCTAAAAAGTGGATTAGCTTGGCATTTAATTTATCTGGTCATGTCACTGATACTTTCTCATCCTTTAAAATTATCAGCAGATAGAATAAGGCAGCGTCTCTTCGATTTTCCGAAGTAGTAGCGATTAAGATCTCGAATTAGTTAAATATGTTCGGAAAAAGACAATAGTTAACTTATCATCGGTAAATTCAATAATTCAGTCACAACCAACTGCAAATATTACCATAACTATTATTATTGATATCATTTTATTCCTGTGTTTGTTTTGTCATGCCATCTTCACTAAACTAATTGTTATTTCGTGTACGCTAAAACCATCTTTCTTACATCCATTTTTCACTCACACAGTTCTCTTTTCAAATCTTTATCTTAGTATATAACCCATCTTACTAATTTTGAATTCCAGATAATAACCACCTCCTAGTTCTATATCTTTTATATGTATTTTCAAGTGATCTAAAACTCAAGTAGACTTTTCAAATCTTCTGCAACTATTATGTAATCTATTTTTTTAGTTTCTGGAGACTATATCATTAATGCTTCGAGATGTTTTTGAATTTCATCTTCAAATGGCTTTACATTTGTTTGTTTCTTCACATTTACATATATATTTATAATTATTACTGATAATCATTTTCATTCTAAATCTTTACATTCCATATTATATCATATCTCAATGTTACACTTTGATATGAATACGGTTATATGTAACTGGTAAGAAGCCATGCAATAAAACTAATTGATGTCATTCTACTATAATTGTTGTTTTAGTTATTATAGCAACTGTTCTACAACAAATTTCGATTATGGTTAACTTTGGTTAAGTCCTTTTGTTAACTTAACAGACAATGTTATTAGAACACTAACAATTCTTATATTTATTTGTACTGTTATGATCACTAAATCACATGACAGACTCTAGCTAAAATGTTAATCGCTTAAAAATCACTCAATGATTCATTCTCTTTCCCATGTAAATATGTACTCAAATCCTATTATTAGCTTTTGCTTTGCCTTGTTGTGCCCTTATGCAATTTGACTATAAATTTGCCTATGTAATTGTTTACATATACTCTTTCGCCTCTCCGCTTCAAATTCGCTTGATATGTTTATAACTTTATGACCTGAGCTATCCGCTAATAAACTGTAATTACCGCTTCTCATTCCCTTCTGATTTCAAACACAGTTGGAATTTATGTACTATTGGTTACAAGGGTGATAGATTAACGAAACAAAGCCACCATAGTTTATTCAAATTCGTAAAGGGAACCAAGGGTATCTAAACAATTAAAATTTAAACAGTCAACTAGTAATGTATTTATAAATGAGTATCTACTGGTTTCTTACATAACATTAACAGTCTATATGTGGGATTCATTATATGTTTTAACTAATAGTTTTATAAATCCAACAATGAATGTATTTATATTATCAAATTTTCTATGATACTTATTAATTATCCTAGATATCATAATACATAATGAATGACCAGAAATCAAATAATGACAGACGGAACCTAACGGCAAATGTTTTGCAGTAAATTTACATATTAAAGCAAAAAAATATATACTGTTGAACACTGAATGAACATTCAAAGGATATTGAATTTTGATGAGATTTTAAGGGTGTGATTTCATGTAAAATGACAAATTAATATTAAATAACATAAATTATAATGAATATATTATGATAAACTAATAGTTGAGTTCATGGGTCAATTAAAGCTAGACCACCATGACAAACCTAGAAACACTAGATTGTCGTTTCGTTCTACTGTATGACTCCTCAACAATGCTCATCCACGATCTCGCCTCACGCAATTCGAACCATCCAATACCTCTAGGTGTTCCATGGTGATCTAACTTCAATTAACTCATGAAATCATCTACTAAGTTACTAAAATATCTAAAAAAAACCCTTCTCATAAGAATTGGTGTTATTTATTAACTTAAATACTCATTTTTAAAATAATTTCTGTAGATAAAAATTCATTAATTTTTGAATTTATTCTTAGAAAATAAATAATTCATATTTTTTTCTTTCATATGGTCAATGTAGCATCCTAATCATCCCTTAAATATTCTAATTTACCTATAATATCCTATAGTTTTCAATGATATAGATATTAATGAATATTATAGTGACATATTTCAGTGAACTGAAGTTTGTATTACATTTCTTTAGTAGGAGAACTTTTATACTTATGGTCAATTTACAGTGAATTACATACTATTAACAAAAAAAATTAATTCAGTTTTGTTTTCCCCTATGGATTATTATTATTTCTTTTATAATTTCATATAAATAAATGTCATTAGTTGTAGCCATAATTTCGATAGAAAGTATTGTGGTGTGAGTTACTTATATCTACATAAGTAGTATATAATGGTGGTCAGGCATAAAATGTATTTCAGTAGATGATCGATAAGGAAAGAATGGAAACGGAACGCAATTGGTATGAAAATCTATGAACAATAGAATCTGAGACAATGGATTGATGTTTGCAACAGGAACAGTCAAGTTTGAGACGATGGATTGATATTTTGCAAATTAACTATTTACTATATGGTTCTCAGATTTTATTGAGATGCTTTGTAATTTCATGCCGAATACATTTGATTGCCCGCCCTCATGTTATTGTTCACTAGAGTACTAGTGATAATACAGTAACTTCTTTCTGATTAGTGGAAATATGTAATACCATTAGAAGATTGATATTGTTTTAGATAATATTTTCAGGGAGACTATAATTTATGGACAAACCAATCAGATTTAAGATAACAGGTCTCGGATTTTGGCTCGAAACAGAGTTTTGGCATAATAGCTGAAAGATAGTCCATAAATTATAGTCTCACCATATTTTCTTCTCTTCATATGAAAACAATATTTCTTAGTAATTGAATGCATTGAAATATTTATTCGCTTTAAAAAATCACTCGGATACTAATAAAAATATTCAAAATGAAATAGTTATACAAGAAGCTTTTGTTTGAGAGAAAATAGTAATAACATTAGATTTTAGGGAATTCATTTATTCATTGAACTCCTTAACTATATTTGTAGATATATGTACAAAACTATTGAAACAATACATTGAGTAGACGGGTTATTTTCCCTGCTTTGTGTTAGGTTGTCTGCTTTTCAATGAGTCATACAGTCAACCATCTATGAAGTAGGACCAGGCTCATATGTGCATCTGTTCAACTTGCCATGTCTCATTAGCACAAGATGAACATTAAGTTCATGGAAGTAGTTACTTTAATGGTAGAAAACAAGGTTTCATATGAGGATATGATGCAGGGAGAAAGAATTAGTTGATAGGAAGAAAAGTATTATGTAATATTAATCTCACGGTTTAAAGAGGACAAAGAGTGTACACACCTACACAATTGTGATCGATTCTGAGCCATATCATCCAGAGTCTCCAACCATTAGTCACGATAGTCACGAGAACCCCAACCAAGTAGTCTGTATCTACGAAAATGGCTCAGACTAGACGTTAGTGACTTCAGTGACTGATGCCACGTTTTGGTTTGACTGCCCCCGACTTTTTTCCAACCATCTCCAACACTAAACAGCATTGCGCGCCGCAGCAGCCAGTGGTTTAGCATGAATAATACATAGCCAAACCATGTCCGCCAATGACGATTTACAACTTTAACTGGGTTACCATCACTCCCTAATACTCCGCGTTTAACCTAAGTACTAGGAGATACGAGCAATTTCTACGAGTGTCCTCTACACTTTATGGCTTATATCTACTTTTTCAAGAGTAGTAACTAACTCATTTACCTACCACAACTCGACATTTTGTTACATCTGTTACAATTTATTTTAAGCAATTAATAAGTTATAAGCAATGGAATCCAGGACGCGCGTTTAGTCCTACTTGGGGCTCGTTAGCTGGATGTGCCTATATCTCAGAGTTGGTGTTCACTCTGGCACTCAGACCTAGTACCTTTCTCTTTGAATACCATCTCGTTATCTATTTAGCTACTGAGTTCAGATAGACAATATCGAAGCAATACTCATAGTATGCACATATGCCAATAAGAAACTGATCAATTGAAGTCCTAAACATCAATGAGAACATTTAAGTAAATAGTATAAAGTGGATAAATAAATTGCCTAAAAAAGAATATATTTATAAATTTATTATCTGATGCATATCCATAGATTTTTATAAGTAGTAACGAGACACTTTTAAAAATAAGAATTATTGTCACGCTAATAAGTATATTTCCAATTGTATAAACTGTTAAAAATCACAACATTCAAAACTATCAATCATTGATATATTTTTTGATTTGCTTATAAGATAATTTAATGAAGAATATCAAATATAATTAGTTCAGTGTTTTTTTTTCAGAAATATACATAGTCACTAGCAAATTAATAGAGATTTTTTAACGATAATCAATTAAATTTGATAATTGAATTCATGGGTTAATTGTAGCCAGATCACCATGAAAAACCTGGAATCACTGGAAGGTCGTTTGGTGAAACTCTATTTTATGGACGACCTTTGAACGAATTTTTAAGTGACCTTGAGGACATTAGCCAATCAGAAGAGAGTTAGTATAGAGTAAAAATATATTATAAAAAAGTGATGAATTACAATGGATATTCTTCTTTTACATGATTTAAGAACTTGTAGAGGTTTGATAAAGGTTCAGAAGTTTTGAAATCATAGTGCATGCGGTATAAGAACTCGTCCATATGACTCCATAATAACCGTCCTCTGGAGCCGTGGTAGGGTCTTAAAAAATACTTCAGCCTAGACCACATGCCCTCAATGTTGTTTGTATGGACTCCCGTCGTTGGATCAACAAAATGACGTTTGTGCACCACAACATGATGCACAAAACCAAGTCTCGAGAGGCATCTATACGCTTTCCAATCATCGGTATAGATCGTCGTGCCAGGCTGAACGTACTCCTTGATGATTGGTATGATTGTCGTTACCTGACGGTTTCTTACTCTTTGAAAATGTCCTTTTTGAGTTGAACGATCGTAAAACCCAAGTACCTGTCAAGTATATTCACGGAAGTGCTACTTACCCAATCTTCTTTGATAAAACGTCCTTTATTATATTTTCGCTTTCTAACTAGCGCCTCATCTATTTCCACTATCTTTCCAACTCCTCCAAATGATTCATGTACTCGTGTCATTTTCATTGCGCATATATCACGACAATATTCGTACCACTGAACGGCAGAAGTTTCCGTAACATCTGCAAAAGCCGCAGCTAATGTTACTGGAGACTTTATGATCCAATTCGCAACGATTATCATGATTTGTCTAAGCCTTAGCCGTGACCGGGCAAAAAAAAGTGCCAGTTCGAGCAGATTTTTTTCTCCAACATATAGTACAACGTAATACAATGTCATCGCTGTAGTCTGCACATCGTGCTGCGGTCATTTGATTGCCGCAGTCACAGACACAGGAACTTCTTAATAGTCCCATCTGCTGTAGTCTCTCAACGATCACCTCTTCTCTAAAATCTGCTGTAAAACGATCGAATGTGAGCATCTCGCATTGAACTTAGCGCCGTGACCTTGAAACTCCTTAAACGCTTCTGATTGGCTCGTCCATAAATTAGAGTCCTACCGCTCGTTTCGTCCTAGATCGGGACTCCCATCCGCGGGACTCGAACCCAGGTTCAATCTGTCCTATGCACGAACGATTAAACTCTTGACCGCCGAGCCAACACACAATGGTATTAATGTCTAACTTCAACCAATCCACGAAATTGCGCCGTCGTTTTCAGTGAGCTACTATCTCACAACAGAACCGGTTGAACTCCACTAGTCCTGTGTTCGAATCTCGCGAGGCGGGATCGTAGATGCGTACTGGTGAGAAGTCCCACTGTTTGACGACACGGCCATCCACTTCTACCATGGTGGTCTGGCTTCAATTGACTAATAAATTCAACTATTAAATTACCATAATATCCACAAAACCTCACTTTGATCATAATATCAACTAAATAATTAGGTTATTTTCTACCTTAATACTTACTATTTTATAATTATCAGAATATCCACTAATTAAACCTTTTTGTTTTACTTCTTATAAATGACTAGCTTTGAAATTTTGATTAGGTCTAGATTGTCCAACCACTGATTATAGCAATCAGATGTTTAGATTAATATCAATTATAAATTAGGATAATTCATAAGATAATATACCTGTCCATGAATTTGAAGCACATTTGTGTTTTCATTGTTCCTTATAAGATATTTTTAGGCATTTTCTCGCTCTTTTAGTGTGTTAAGACTCAAAATTTCATTTTGAACTCTAACTTTCATTTCGTTTGTGTTGTTTTCTTTCATCTAACAAGTAAGGATATTCTACAGTAACGTATTCACTAAAGAAATATGCAAAAAAATCTTTAGATTATTTAAGTGAAAGTCCTAGTGATAATTACTATTTTATATGGAATACTGACACTAAATGAAGGGAAAGTATTCTAAAATGCTAGATATCATAGTCTTATTGAATAGTGATAAAAGGATAGTTAACCACATATGATTTCATAATATTTGACTTAACTATAATTGTTGTGTTTAGTTCTATTTGACTATATGTTACCGTTTGAAATATGTGCTTTTCTAATTTCTCAATATATCTCTTTATTTTATGAGAAATTAAAAATAGTTCTTGATTGTGCTTGACAAAACATTAGATATACTTTAAACGCACATTTTAGTCAGTTAAAGTATAAAATTATTATGATAGTGTTTTCAAAAAACTTACCACAGTCAAAAGTGTACCAACATTTGTATCCAAGCTTAGATTTAGCTTAAAACCCAATGCCGGCGAAACAATATTCATTCCTGTATTATCAAGATTTCCCTTTAATGTTTCATCCTTGTTTACTGACTGTGAACGTGATGATGATTCAATGAAACGTGGTTTATTATCATTCAAATCTAATACATGAATTGTAACAGTCACAGAATTAGATAATTTAACAGGAATTCCATTGTCCTCTGCAATTACTGTCAGTACAATTATAGGAGTCTTTTCTCGATCGATCACCCCATAGACAGTTAGTTTACCATCGTGACTGATCTAAAATAAAGAATCATATCAATAACTTTTGTCAGATTCCCACTAAGCCAGGATACAACAAAAGGCGTACAGTATTTATACGAAATTATTTAGAAAATTGTTATTCACTGCATTTTGATTTTGAATGAAATCGACTAAACGTTTGGGGCTATCTGTAAAGTTCTTTATGTTCACTATGTCGAATTTCGCACTTTCCATCACTTCTCTCGTCATCAAAGAGTTCAATTCAAAATAATTCTTTCACTGCATATGTTGTCCATTCAGTATACTGAAATGAGCTACATTTAACATGAACATAACAGACGGTTTAGGACTACTTCACAGGCTTGAAATGAAATTATTGATGTAAACTGCGTCATAAGATGAAGCGCTCATTCAGTGAACGGAAAAATGAACTATGAACAACAGGGTAAAAGACACCTAGTGAAAATAAAAAGCGTTTCAGATAACTTGAGCTGAGATGTAAACATGAACTACAGGTCTGATTTGATATTTTTAAAATGACTTGTATCTACTAAATGCACTAAATGATCATTAACCCTACCTATGCTAACAATAATTGATTTGTTTTCATTATTACGAAACCCTTTTGTAAGTGGAATGTAATGTAAATTATTTAATACAAGCACTTGAATCGCTTTATACGTAATTTAAGGATTTTATGAAACTTGCACCAGTGTGACCGGAAAATACACTACTATGAATTCATGAAACCAGTTTGTAAGTGTCATGAGTTTGTTGTATCTTTCAAACAGTCAAATAATTTTATCCTTTGCGCCTTCGACCACTCTATCATTAGCATCTGATCCTATCCATCCTCTATTCAAGACCTTGATAGATTAATCAGTTCTTTGTTTGCGTTTTGGAATGACCTATATTTAAATCATTTCGTGAAAGTGTGCTTTATCGTGAAGAGTAAGAGCGTTTTCAATATTGATTTTCGTTTACATGAACAAACTTGTTTTCTCTATTCATTCCTGTTCACATTGTTGATTTCTGTAAAATTCCACTTTGAAGTTTCTCGCTTAACAATTTTGCTAGATATTTTTATCATGTGAAGAAATTTACACATCTGTCTATCGTTGGAATTCGATCTACCCATGTAATGAAAAGACTGACAGGTATGAATTCAAACGGACAGTTTATTATTGCTCCTGCCATCTATACATTCTATTCGTGATCATACAAATAAATATCAAGGTGAGCCATACGTAGTACCATAGTACATCAGCTAAATGAGTAATATCACTGCTCTCATTACCGGAGGTTTTTCAGCATTACTTATGATATTTCAGGAACGGCATATGTTAATTTTAAATGCGATCAATGTTGACATACTGATTATTTGAAAACACAAAACTGGGTAGTATCCCACTGCTTACAAATAAGTTACTTGGAAATAGATTCATTAACATTTTTGATGCCTCCCAAATCAAAGTGTTTCAAATTGAACCAACATGTATAACTAATGAGAACATTTTATTAGTCGTCTCTGAGAACAATTTATTTGAATAGTAAGAGAAAGTCGGGAAATGTGTTAGAAATTATGTAAAATATAGATATCTGTGAACTCACTCTTGAAGCATATGCCTCCATCGATCTAGTGGAGCATTTATCTCATGATTTCGTTTTTAGACATTTTCACATAACACTTACAGGGATTCTGAATTTCGGTAATTTTAGTTTACATTACTTATCGACTAATTGCTAAGCATTTTACTTTGGTTCAGTTGTTCATTACACATAAAAGAATTGTGCTATAATCTTTAACAAACCAATTGGATTTGAATTTATCAAGATGATATTGAATATCAGTAAAAAAAACTAGTAAAACACGGGAATAAAGTGCATGGTAGTAAACGAAAAATGTTCAGTTTCACAATCCTTCTATCAGATTAGGTGTTACAATAATTATGTGGACTAATGAAGAAATTAGATGAAAATTTCAAGCTAGTTAGAATGATCGCATGCACTTCATATACGTAAAATCTTATGAAGACATCTGATCTATCTCAACCTTAAAATTACCTGTATTAGGCGTGAACCAAATGTGTTTGTTGAACTGGGTGATTTATTGATTATCAAATTATGATTATTGTTATTTATATTATCATTCCGACTATCTTGTTGAGCACCAAGCTGATATGTTATTGATCCATTACGCCCCAAATCCATATCTGTAGCTACTATAGATCCAAGGATTTGGTGAATAGTTGATGAACCGTAACTTTCAACAATCTAATTCAAACGATAAGAAAGAATACAAATTAAATAAAAAGCGTTGTAATGATTGTATTGAGCAATTTTAACTATATACGCTGTGATCATGAATTTTATTTAAACAATTCATAGATCTCTTTTAATTTATTAACATATTTAACTTAATCCCAATAACAGTAGATGAACCAATATATGCAGTTTCAAAACTGGACCTAGCCCTGTTGAATAAAATTTTGGTATCAATAAACGCTTACGATCAGCTTGTGAGCTTTACACTTTAATTTCAATAGAAATATCATTTTGAGATAGTAGCTTAAAGCAGTTACAACTACTAAGCAAATTTATATTCAAATTCAATGAGGACTCAATTTTAAAATGGAGTTAAGTATCACAGTATTCAATGAATATTAGATATGTTTCAACAATATCGTCTGAAGAAATCAAACATTTATTCACTAACATTAGAACTTTATTGTACTCAGTAAAATTGATGAAGTTCATTATAGTGATATAAAATTAAAATATTATAATTGTTTACGATATATTCATTTTGTTTTTATTCCCTTTATAACCCATAATACTTATGTACATCAACCGCTCACATATTTCTGTATCATATATTTGAGGGGTAAAATGGACACAATAATGGATTTCATAATTTATTGATCTTGTATACAGTTATGATACTTGTACTTTTTTTCATGATCCAAGAAGAAGCTATTACACTGATTAAAAAATAAGGGATAAGTTGTTAACCTTACAACGTATTTTAGATGTTAATTGTTAATACTACTTTTATTAATCTTCCTTGATACACACATCTATACACACTATAGTATATACATATATTAATTATTTCATACTAATGATGGTTGTACTAAATGTGGTATTAAACACTGTGACTTTCCAAACTATTAGTGTGTTCAAAAAGGCCGTATATAATTCATGATTTATTTGATTAATACTGTTTAAATCAACATTTTATAAATGATTATTTGAATTATTGTATTATAGTATATCTACATTTTTGTTCAAATCAAATCAATGAGTGATCAAAAGTTTTTTGGTATAATTGGTCTTATATCTGTCACTCAATCGATATGTAGAACATGGTACATATGTACATCAGTTCAAGTTGCCATACCCAATTAGCACAGTGAGATAAATTCCCAGAGTACTAGGGGTAATAACAGTGTAAGTGATAACAGAAAAGATGAGACATCGAAGATATAATTCAAGAAAATATAAATTAATGAAAAAAATTATGGGGAATTTTGTAGTTCAAAATCTGGGGGAAGAAAAAGAATGGATACACCCGCATCATTGTAAATAATTTTGAGCCGAGTCATTTAAAGTCTCTAACTAACCAGGTAGTATATACCTGTTGACATGGCTTAGTTCAATTTTTGATGACCTCAAGGACTGATTCTACGTTTAGGTCTGGCTCTCCTAATGTTTTTGTAGTCTGCACCTATACAAAACAGAACTTGTCAAGGTAAGCAGTGGTTGGAGATATGTAACACGTCTCAATCACCTAAGTTGACAATGATTTACCATCCCATCGGTCGATTTCTCATTCCTACCTATTACTCTGTTCCTAACTCAGACACCGTTTACCCCATAAATTATTGAATATTTTTCTAATTAGCTTAGAAATCTTTCATTGCATGTCAAATCATCTCATAATGTTCTGCTCATTATGAAACTACTATAGTTATTCATGTTCTGTATTGATTTTTTTTCAATTATTAACGAAATTTGTTAGATTTTTTAATAAACAGTCATAAGATGTACGACAATATTATTCTTCTTTTCATAAAAATTATTAGCGAAAGTCAGCTTAACAGGTTACTAGCTTATGTACTGGTTAGCGTTGGATGGAGAGTGCTGGTGGGCGGCCGATAATCCTCCATGAAGAGTAACAGACTTAAGTAAGTAAGTAAGTAAGTAAGTAAGTAAGTTTACATTCCTTAGGTAAAATATTCAAATGTTAATCATCAATTTATAGGTTTAAACTATATTCTGTCAAATTCAGTTTGGCTAGTCGGTAAGTTTCATCACATCAGATAAATAAATGAATTCTATTAACAAGAGTATATTTTCTTTGCGTCTTCAATTCGTACTGAACATTTAAACTTTAGAACATGTATTAACACTAGCCAAACATGAATGAACTTGCATTAAGAGTATGATTTTTTTTAAAACAAAGAAAAATTTGTTTTATTCTATAGATAAGTAATTTTTGTTGTTCTTATTTTTATTATAAACAGACTGATTGTTAAGACTACACAATGTACACATTCATGATGGAACTCAATCTAATTATTTAAACATTCAATCAGCGTATTTTTATTAAATACCGACTATTTTACAATGTGTAGTTATCCATATAAGCTGTCATACTTTCATTTCACTGTGGTTTTTTTAATTCAGACTATATAGTTTCGAGGTTTTCTTTCATGATATTTTAAGTAACATAGTGATAGTTTTGTTTACTAGTTGAATTAAAACTAGGGTATGTCATTACACCATCACTTATCATAGCAACTATATTTAACTTTGTTTAGTACTCAGTTAGCAACAGTCTCCTTTATTGAATGAACATAGCATTGAACTATTAAATAGAATAAAGTGCATGAATCATATCTGATCACTCATATAGTCATTTACAACTGTTTATCTCTTAGCTTTTTAAAGACAAAATAGTTTGATTAAATTATTTCGTCTACCAGGTAATAATTTACGTGCAACCAATGATTAATAATGACGACTTGTAAAGAATATATTAGAACTTGAATACCGAACGTGGGACCACCTGTGTTTAGAACAATATCAGTAGTTAAAGGTTGTTTTCTTCAACTGATTTATGTAAGATTTTTTTATCTTTAGAAGTTGTACATAATGGACAAAATTCCCTGCACCAAACTCTGGTGTTATTTAGCATTCATCCACAAGGAGTATCTCTAATACTAAGGAAACTTATCTTCATCGTTAGATTAGAGAATATCCCGCCTTGTTAACACTGAAATATTAAGAGTACTTTCGATCTTCTATAATGCTGTGATATTTACATTAGTTGTTTATTAAATAATAACCAACGTCATGTTATCTAGTCAGTGTGTAGAGTTGATTAGGTTGTGCTGACATCTAGATTAGATTAGCTGACTTTGGAAAGTTAGCTTTATCATCATAATACATTTCGCGTCTTACACATCACTTAATGGTTAAATATTTTCCAATAAAGTAAGATATTAAATTGAATGAGTTTTGTTTACTTGTCTTCATAAATAGGGGAAATTAGACATTTTATGCATGAAATTACAGCTTTATCTGAAACATTAATCTTAAAGGTATTGTTTTTTAAAGCATGAAATTGGAATTCATTATTTTTCACTAAACAACATCATTTACGGAAGTCATGACAGCGACACAACAATGGAAATATCTTTCTGTCTAGTTCCCTATTCTTAAACTAATTTATATAAAGGTCAATTTTTAAAAGAAATTTCTGAGTCAATAATCAATTGTTTTTAGGCCTTATCAACCGTAAATAAATATATAACAAATTTAGTTATTGTAGATCTCTATCAATAAAAGTAAACCAAATGATTGATATTCTATTTCCATCGGCGTTTTAATGGCGTTCTCACAGTAAAACTGTCTAGCTATTCTTATCAAAAGCATGACATCTCATGCTAAGAGCATTTGAATGTATGTATTACACTAAACACTGAATAATCGTCTGTTTTTTAAAATATTAAACAAAGACTAAAATATAATAATATTAAATGAATGCATAGGTTTGTTAGGTCTTATATGTTCTTAAATTTTGCTTTCCTATTATCGTATTTACCAATGTTTTTTGGTGTTAGTAATTAATTAGTATCAGAGTGGGTTGGAGAATGCTGGTCGGCTGCCTATGCTTCATTAGGAGTAACAGACGTAAGTAAGTAAGTAAGTAATTATTTAGTATGGTTCATAAGGGCTTAACTAAAAAGAGAATGATTTACATTATAAATTGCTTAAAGTTTAGATCATTTATTTTGAACAGCAGTTTAGTCTAAGATCACAAGCTTAATACTCTACTTTTTCATTTGTGATTCTACTAAAGATATAAACTTCGAAGTGTTTCCAAATAATAACTTGAAGTTGTGTACTTAAATGTTTGATTTATATGGACTTGGAACAGAAATCGTCAGAATTCTACATAAAATACAAGTATCAATACCAAGGTTGGACTTGATAGTTTCAAATAAATTGAGTATTGGGTAGAGTTATTAATAAATCTATTGTTAATTATATCCCAATGATTGAATTCATGGGTCAGTTGAAACTAGACCACCATGGAAAACATGGAAGCACTGGTTGGTCGTTTCGTCCTAGTGTGGGACTTTTCAGCGATTGGTTGAAGTTGGATATTGGAACCGTTGAATGTCATCTCAGTGGTTTACAGGTCAAGCATTCACGCGAGACTAATAGGTCCTGCGTTTGGCTCTTGCGAAGCGGGATTGTGGATTCGCACTGCTGAGGAGTCCTGGTCTAGGATGAAATGGCTATCCAGTGCTTTCAGGTCTTCTATGGTGTTCTAGCTCCAGATGACTCGTGAATTCAGCTATAGGATTACTAAAATTCCTACAAAACCCTTTCTCATTATATCCCAATGAGTAGTCAAATTGTATTTCTAATGTTTCGTGATTTAATGTATGATACTTCATCCGAGTAAATAAATAGTCGAAATTAAATTAACATAAGTTTAAATGATACAAAGGATATAGTGAAAAATACTCTTAGTACAATCAAAATCATAATAAGTCTAACCCCATGAAACTTCAGAAATACAATTTTTCTACTCACTGGGATATGACACATAATAGTTTCAGTTAAATATTCTAATATACACATCAGTAACTTTTGATAATATATCCTTATAAATTTGATAAAAGATAAGTTTTATTCTATGATAATGATGATGATTAATATTAACAATACCATTTTTAATACTATGTTCTAACTTACTTCAAATATGTAATCCCCAAAGAATTCCGGTCTACAGTCATTTACATCATCTATTTTAATTATAACTGTAGCTGTTGATGATAATCGATTGATTTTTGCATTATCACTTACAATAATATGTAATTCATAACAATCTATTATTTCTCTATCTAATTCATTAATTAATTGAATATCACCATTTGGTGCTAAATTAAATACATGATCCATATAAATTGATTCTTTTTCATTTCTACTATCATTTTGTTTATCATTATTAATATGATTAGTTGCAACTGTTGTATTATGATTTTTTGTATTTAATGAAATTGGTTTATTTAAATAAAATGGAATTTGACTTTTTAATTGAAAAGTTACTCGACCATTATCACCAGCATCTAGATCAATAGCATGAACACTGCCAACTATTGTACCACGTAAAGAATTTTCTGGTAGATTGAAATGATAAATGAATGACTGATCCGTTTTTTGGCGAACAGAATTAGATGATGATGAGGATGATGAAATTGATTGATAAAATACTTTTCTATGACTCTCTGAATTAACTGAAAATAAATGAGCTGATTGTGGTTGATTAGGCATAATGAACATAGGCGCATTGTCATTCACATCAAGGATGTTGACTGTTATCAATCGATTTGATGTAAGCATTGGTGAACCTTTATCAGAACATTGTAACAGTACATTGTAGTATGGTGTTGCTTCACGATCAAATGATGTTGAATTTTTAGATTCTAGTCGATAAACAACCCATCTTCCTTGACGAAAGAAACCAGTATTCTTTTCGTCATCATTATCATGTCTGTGAGATAAGAATCCGTCATGCTTATTATTAGTGTTTAGATTACTTTCTTGATAGCGTTGATCACTTAATTTTGGTCCAGACATGACTTCGTAAAGTGTCAGATATGTTGTATCATTTAAACTGCAATAAAATTCCGAATTGGGCGATGTAGTCAAATCCAAATCACGTACTGTTATTAAACTTATTAACTGCTGTTTACCTACAGTATTTTCTACTAGTGAAAACTCAGTATTTCTCATCTAGTAAAAGAAAAATAGAATCATTTGAAGATGGAGCTTCATATATTTCTTTGTTACGCTACTAAGAAGGTTTATAACTACTATGCATAATATATGATTACATTAAAATTCACTGCTGAAATACATTGACTAGCAGCAATTTATTGAACAGTAGTGTCTTTGTATATGTTGATAGGTTTACTCGTTGCTTAAGAGCTCCATAATCGATTTTTATATATCTTAAGTAGTTTTCCAGCGATTTACCTTTTTTTAAAATACTCAATAGCCTAGCCATTTATTAATCGAATATTATTAGTACAATTTTTGTAGTTGTAAGTTTAACATTTAATTTTACTAATATATGTATAAGTAGTATTTCACTGCAAATAATAACAAAATCTAGTTTACTAACAATTCTGTCTTATTTTGTTACCATTTACTTCATACAGTAAATAAACTGATCATAAATATGTAAGCAGATTTTCATGAAGAAATAACCATCAGATAAATTCACAAAGTATATTTGTTTCTTAGAATTGACAGCATATTTGATTGTCTCAAGAAGTTTCTTCATCAGAGACTGGACTAAATTACTGTTTTACTAATTACAAACAAACAGTAAGAATAGTGAGAATGAAGAAACTAGGTGTCAATTTATAGATACTAGAGTGAGACTTTGATGAGGAAGTTATGATTAGACTATTTTGATAGTTTTATGGATCTTGTCCCAGGTATGATACAAAGATTTTTCTAGTTCAATCATTTAATTGTAAATAGAGAAAAGAGTAGTTGAATACTAAACATAGATGAATTACTAATCAACCTATTGATAGTTTTAATAATGCAACTTCCTGATGATGTTAAACATGATACGAGGTTAAGGATTGATTGAAAACTAAATCAATCTGATTGACGTCAAGTAGAGAAGCATGAAAATTAAGAAACAATAAACACTCATTTTTTGTTTCATTTTGCCTCTACCATGAAGCAAACATTGAATATGATTTCTTTGAGCTTTTAGTTCATATTATCTAGCATCAACCAATTATATGAACATTATCTATCAGCGTTAATTCTATCAGTTCTTCCTAATTTTGAATGATTCTCTAACAAACGTCAGTAAAGGGTTAAAATCTACATAAAACTGACCCGAAAGTCTGCAACTTGATAGACGTATCTATAGCTTTATCAATAGGATAAGTCTATTGTCCACTTATAACTATTTTTGCTATGAAGAAATATCTAAGATTAGGTATTCAAAATTTGGTTGACATTTTCCGTAAAAGAAAACGTTACACTTGGTATTTGAAGTTGAAGTTCTTGTTGAAGCTATTTGCAGCAGTCCTTCAAATAATTAGTTGATTATTTACGAAATTAAAACTAAATTTTGAATAAATTGTTTTCTTCTCCATGTTCATGGTTGACTATACTAGCTGATGATTTGCAGTGTTCAGTTATAGCTAATTATTATAAGTTTATATTTTTTATAGCCCCCTTTATAAATACTAACTATTCTTTCCTTTATGAACGCAGTAAAGTTAAGCTTATTTGACGGACGTTTTATTTTTTATTTATAGCGTTACAATCATATCTTTTGTCTTGTCTTTATGCATATGTATCTGAATGAAGTTATTGCTTTGGCATCATTTGATTGTTATCATAGTAAAATATTAATGAAATGCCTACATTGTTCAGTAAATAAAATATTCAATTTTTTGTATTAAAGAAAGCGAACTGCTATATTTAATCAAAATTCATACAACTCCTCTCACTACCCTGATCGTCACAACAACCTATTATTTACAACCAACTTAATATACTCCATTTTTTAACTTACTTCCTAAACTAATTTTTATCATTTTATTGTTATTCTGTAACCGTTAGCATTATTCATTTTAATGAATAACTTTTATTGACAATCTATACTTCAAAACTTTCACTGTAAGGATTATCACCATTTATGTATTTATTTGTTGAAACACATGAAAAATCGTATAAGGAGGTACCAGCAACATATGGGCCACATTTTATTTGGTTTGTATGAGGGCTGGAATACTGCCCAGATGCTCAAACCGAAGCAAGTGGTTTTGTTAGAGGACCATGCTCCGAGCATTTGGCCTAGAGTTCTAACTTTAGGAGACCCAGTCTCATGGTGGCCGGTGACCCACAATAGGTTCAAACGCTATTTTTCCCTCATAATTTTGAAGCTCATGTGCACAATGGGTTAAGGATCAATATTTTCCAAATCTACCAACACCGTTAAAGCGCCAGATATTCGCTTTTCGCCCTCTCGATTTCGTAAAACCGCCCCTCGATGCAAGAGAACAGTGGGACTTCTCTGGTAGTGGCTGCATATGCATGGTCATGTGAAAGCATTTCGAGACGGAGAACTAACTTTCAGCACCCTCAGACGTACCAGGGCTTTTGTGAGCTGAGTTTTCTCATCACCATGGTTTTCAGTCTATTTATTAAATAATATTAAACAATATGATTATCATATTCACCTCTACATTTTCACTATTGTCACTCATGTTTCCCAAATACCTTTGAATACGAGTAAACAATACTATTACTTGAATAGTAATGATTTAATTATTTTTTATTGAGCGGACACACATTATTGTAGAACCATGGTGTGAAACTATAAAACAAAGTATTTCCATGTCTCTACTCATTTCTCTATAAATGACCCGATGGAATTTTTTTTAATCGTGTACACCTTTTGTTGTAAATCTTAATTGTTTTTCTAGATGATTATAAATAAATTTTATTCATTATTCTTTTTTTTGAATAGTGTATTTTCTATCCTATTTAATTTGGCAACACCAGCGGTCTATTATAAACCTTTACGTACATTATGTATCTTTTGTTCAGTTTACTGATTTCAACTCAAAGACTTACTGAATCTGTAAATATCATCATCGTGATTTGAATTGGTATTTTTAAGTAAATTCAGCATTAAGTAAAATGCCAATGATAAGGTACTTCTTACCTTCACTGTTTTCTTACCCCCAACCATATTCTCCTTCATTGAGAAGTTACGCAAGTATATAAGTAGTACTTGATGGAAAATCTACTATATCTAATTTCTAACGACAATGAATTTAATTATCACTCTTCAGTTGATTTATTATGGGGTCTAATATAGTGCAATAACTATGAAATTAAAATTGCATGATTTGAAGAGTAGATTAATGTTCCTTTTTTGAAGATTCTTCTTATGATCTTAATCAAATCAATCTAATATAAACCTGAAACCTGTAATTATTTTTAATAAATATGTAATCAAGTCAAGTTGATTATCAATTGTAACTTACTAAAATCATTGGTTTATGATCATTACAATCTTGCACTAAAAGATGTATCCATGCATCGCTACTTTTACCAGCACCATCAGTTGCTGTTACAATTATAGTTAAATTAGCTTGATTTAAATCTTTCAAACCAAGATCAGTTAAGTAAATATGATCTCCAGAAATAAAAATTCTTTGCCTTAATTGTTCAAAATCTTGTGTTTGATCATTTAAATGATATTTTATCCGACCATAATCACTTTCTGATTCATCCATATCATTTGCATTTAAACGTAATAATTGTCTTTGATTAGTACATTCAGGAATTTGAAATGTATATTTTACAATTGTTCTACCATGTTCATTATTTTCTATTATTTCATTTGATTGAAATGTAATTCTTTCTGATCCCATAAACAATAAACTACCAGTTGATAATTCTGTTTCTAGTTTATCAGCCCATAATGGTGCATGATCATTAATATCACGTATTATTATACGTAAAATTATTTCACCTTTTCTTCCACCAGTATCTATTGCAACAAGACGTACTGCATAACGTGATACTTGTTCACGATCTAATCTACCAATAATTTTTAAACATGGTATTATAGGTAATAAATCTTGATTTATTTCTTGATTTAAATTATATGTATAATTAATATCATGTATTCCTTTATTACTCATATCTTCACATTGAATTCTTGATCCTCTAAATTGTACAATTTCAAATAATTGTACTATTTCCATTTGTTTTGTAATTGGATATAATTCATATTTAATAATACCATTTTCAATTGAATCTATATCATTAGCTATTGGTAATGAAATCATTGTACCAATAGGGCATTCTTCTTCAATTGTTATTATTCTAGGATGATTATCTATATCAGATATTTGTGGAAAATATGGTGAATTATCATTGATATCTAATAAGGTTATAATTAATTCAATACATATTAATTCATTGTTATATTTATTATATTCTTCATTATTCATTAGTTCTTCTTCTTCTTGATCATGATGATTTATATTATGATTATTCATTTTATATGCAGCTATTAATAATGTTATGGTACATTGTTTATTTGTATATTGTAAATCATTGCATATACGTTCACGATCTAATGGTACATTAAATTTAATAATACCATTAATTGAATTTAAATCAATAATATTTAATAAATTATTTTGATTTCTTTGTTGATATGCTGTTAATAAATTACTACTTATATCTAATATTTCAAAATTCATAATTTTTGAAGTAGTATGTTTATTGAATTCATTCATTGATGTTTTTAATTGTATATTATAATTTTGCATTATATTACTTATATTAATTAAATCTGTATTAATTATTGATGATTCTTTCATGGTTAATAAAATTTGATATGGTTGTGTTAAATTAGTTTGTCTATTATTAATTTCATTCATATTCATTAATTCATTATATATAGATTTATTATAACATGAATGAATAAAATATACTAAAAAAATCAATATTTGTAAATTGTATCTATGTCGTTTTTGTTTTATCCACATTTTATAGATTTAAAATAATATTTTTCTTTTTTTTTATTTGTTTCCTGTAAATTAATTGAAATAAACAAAGATTAGTTTCATGCAATTAATTCCCTTCAATGTAATTTAAATAAAGCAAGAACAAATATTGATACAGAATAGTATGAATTCATAATAGTTCGAGGTTTTTCATCAGCTGCTTACAACCAAATATGTAATAGAAGTTTACATTGAGATAAGAAATAGTGTGAAACAATTGACACAAGTGAATGTAAATAACTGAAATGACAAAGATATACAATAATAACTATATATATATATATATATATATATATATATATATATATATATATATATATATATATATATATATATATATATATATATGCTAGAACAGGTCACATGTACGCGTTAAAGCATATACATTTGAAGAACTGAGAGAAGAGTGCATGTTCGCATTTCTGAGCATGTTCCAAAGAACTTGAGGCTGCGATGGACCAAGGCTTTCAACAGTGCGATAGCCTGGCATTTAATTGACAGCAGGCATACCATCGATATCCTGCATGCTTTTAAAATTATCAACAGACAAAAAGGCATGACTACTCTCTGTTTCGTTGAAGCAATCGCGATAAAAAACTTAAACTGGATTTATGTATCCAAAAAGAGACACTAATAAACTTATTATTACACTGGTAATCCAATTTTTTTGTTAATCGGGTTATTTTATTCATTTAGTTATTTTAAAATATTTATTTTGTGTTATTTTCCTCACCCATTACCTAATTCTTAAACCAACTTTTCATTCACACATTTCCGCCAACTGATCCTGTTAAATTATGTTAACTTTTCAAATTCTATTTGATTATTACATAACCCATCTTATCACTGTTTTAATTCCATGAATCCTTTATTACCTCTAAAATTATCACACAATTTATCTTATCTATCTCTGAACTCCACTCAACTATTACATCATCCATCCTTAATATTTTCTTGATTATAACAACTAATAACCTCTGACCTGTTCTTGCATATATATATTGTATACCTTTGTCATTCCAGTTATTTACATTCATTTATGTCAATTGTTTCACACTATTTCTTATTTCAATGTGAAATTCTATTACATATTTGGTTGTAAGCAGCCGGCGAGAAACCTCGAACTATTATGAATTCATACTATTCTGTATCAATATTTGTTCTTGCTTTATTTAAATATTGGTTTTCCTTTTTGTAATATTAAATATTTCAACAATTTATTTAACGATTAATAAATAAAACTGATTAAATTATCTTGTTTATTTTAAGAATTGAGATCATGAATTAATTGACATTATATCATTATGGAAAACTTGAAAACAATGGATAACCCTTTCGTGCTATTGTGAAATTCCTCAGTAATGCTCGTTCAAGATCTAACTTCTCAAGATTTTATGATGATCTAGTTTTAATTGACTTATGATCTGAACTCTTGAAATCACTATAATATTCACAAAACTCCTTTTTTTCATACTTCTTAATTATTCATTTTCTACACAAAGTTATTGGTTACTTGTTTTTATTAAATCAGTAGTTGACAGATAGTTCCCATTTAAACATTAAAATTAAAACACGAATTTCAGCGAAGGGATCTCTTTTCAACGAATTTATTATCAAGCTGTACAATCGTATATATATGAAATTCTTTTGATTTTGTAAAAGTACTAATTCCGTGAGGAAATGTGAACACAGTTAATAAAAAGGGTTATAATACTAGATTACGTAATATGAATAATAACAATAACAATGGATTTGGTGAATATAATAAGATGATTAAAATGTTTTTGATTGAGATCATGAACAGATTGATGTTGGACCATCACAATTGAAAACCTGGGAGCACTGGACGGCCGTTTCGTCCCATTGTGGGACTCCTCAGCAGTGCGCATCCCCGACCCAGCGAGCGGGATTCGAACCCAGGGCCTTCGGTCTCGCGCGCGAACGCTTAACCAACTGGACCATAATAATTAAAGACCATAGAGGTGTAAAATTAATAAATATGGTGATAGGATGAGTATTCACGAATAAAACAATGAGAATATATGACATGTGCATCTACCAGTTCACCTGCTCTTGTGGAGCAAGGTACATTGGCCGTAGCCAGCGCTCGCTTTCAACTCGGATACGGGGACATATTCCTGCTTAGTTCTATAAGGGGGAAAGGAAAGCAGTTAGAAGTTCTATACTTGAACACCTAATCGACTGTAACCATTCCACAGATCCAAAAAATGAATTTAAGGTTGTTGATATGATTCGTTCAAATCTACCCAGATTTCTTCGCATCCAACTTTTAAAAATAGCCGAAGCTCTTATCATCCATGAGCTTAAACCAGAACTATGCGTACAAAAGAAGTACGTCTTATCGTTATAGTTACCTTGGCTTTAAGCATTTTGATTATCCAATTATTATTATTATTATTATTATTACTGCATTCCCCCCTTTACTTATGTCTTATATTCTCATTGTTTTATTCGTGAATACTCATCCTATCACCATATTTATTAATTTTACACCTCTATGACCTTTAATTATTATGACAAAAACATCTAAATCATCTTATTATATTCATCAAATCCATTGTTATTGTTATTATTCATATTACGTAATCTAGTATTATAACCCTTTTTATTAACTGTGTTCACATTTCCTCACGGAATTAGTACTTTTACAAAATCAAAAGAATTTCATATATATACGATTGTACAGCTTGATAATAAATTCGTTGAAAAGAGATCCCTTCGCTGAAATTCGTGTTTTGATTTTAAATGAGTAGTTGGTAATAAAATAATTTATTTTTAAATAATAGTAATATATGACTGCACAACATTATCCACAATCATTCGAATTCTATTAATGTAACATTACCGCTCTAGTCAGTTAATACAGTTATTTGTCAGTAGAAATTACTATAAGATCATATAATCATTTTATTTAAAAGAATAGATAATTATTAACAAATAAATAAATTTTTATTATCTTTGATATTTTGACATAGCAAAGGTAACATTCCTGTAGTTGAAGATAATATATAGAACTCAAAACAATTGTTAACTAATATTAAAGTCATAATCTTCAATACGAACATCTAGATAGTTCTACTGTAACGAGATAAAAATTGAAGAATTACTATAAGAATCATCAGTGAAGTACAATTATTTATAAATTTCGATAGAGCGATAAGAATACGGAGATGATTTGAAATTGATCGAAATTTATAAAAAGGACTAATTATTTATAAACAATTGTTTACGTAAGATATTCAGTGTCGATTTTCCGAATAATATCTGTAATAACCTACTGTGGGTGAGAACAAATCACGTTCCAGTTGAAGATAAAATTAAGAACAAACGCTGGAAGTAGATGGGACATCCATTGCGAACATCGTCAAGCTGGATCACGAGTCAAGTGCTAAATTGAAATTTTGAACGGAAAAGGAAAACAGGAAAACCAAATGACACATGAAAAGAATTAATAGAAAGTGGAAACAATTGGAAATGAATACCCTGGATAGAATTGAATGGCGAGTGCTGGTGGGTGGCTTATGCTCCTCCATAAGGGTTAGCAGGAGTAAGTAAGTAAATAGATGTGTATGATACGTCCACCTTAGGCATGTCAGTATGATTTTAGATAAATTATTTTAATGATTATCGACGTATGATTTTGACTATGTGATATTTTACTGAATTGCGTACTAACAATTTTTTGAATAAATTTTAATCACCGTAAATAGCATACTTTTCTCTCCTCTTTAAAGCAGTAAGTAATTGTATTGTAGTATTCGTTTACAATTTATTCAATGTTGTTTTGATCAAGCTAAAACACGGCGAGTATTTTTTTAATCTTGGACGGTGACACCAAACAAAAAGCGAAGATTTACAAAATTTAAATTGTGAGAACCTATTTACTTTTCGCTTAGTGATAACACGTGATGATAATTGTTTCGTTAAGCAAACATTTAAACGGTCATCTGATATGAAAATGAGAATTCATTTGAATACAACCATCAAAACTATTTATGCCTTATGAATACTAATAAAAAATACTACCACCTTATATATAAGAAAAAACCAATTACGTACTAAATTATTTCACGAAATGCTTCCAAACTTTTTTGTAAGCGTATTCTAAAAGTATATAGTTTTTAAATCTAGTGATATTGAGTAAGAATCAAACAATTCTGAACTATGTAATCTAGGGTTTCGAACTATTAATTATGATTGATTGACGAATCGAACTCTAAGAGTCTGGACTTATGTCTGAATTAAATTAAGCTGATTTGAAGGTAGTGTACTTTTATGGAATCTACATTTGTGAATGAAGTCAAATAAATTAAATTACCACTCATTATTTAAGTCAAGTTACTGAGATTAAAAGACAGTATTTCCCGTGAATAAAGAAATACTTGTGATCTTTTGTTTTTTAACAGTATATAAAATGGAAACATTCATTCGTATGACGATTATAAAATCACATCATGATAGGTCTCTCATTCTTGTCTAGATTTTAGAAACAATTGATTATTAGAATTCATCAGAATGATATTATAGTAACTTAGAATATAGAAAGATCTTTATCAATAAATAATATCAATTTAGCCAGTCAACTTGTTTACGAACATGATATATATAAACACCTATATATACATGAAAGTAGTATATATTGAAGTAGTTTTGATAAACATTTTGTAAACTTTTAAACCTATTCCCATCTTCGACTGATAGCAACAGTTTAAAGCTGACTTTTTTTAACACTTTTCGATAATATCATTTAATAAATGAAGTTATTAATAGTACTCAGTAATGTTATGCTTTTTATAATGATTTCATGAGCAGTTCATACATTATTTCATGCTTTAGTTAATTCCCTCATGGGCAGAAATTGTTTATAAGTGTAAAATCTGTTAGCAACTATGAAAATATATTAACTGGTTGATATAATAAAATAAAATTCATTTCATATTTAAATCCATAGTGAATATACA